CCCTTGGTGGCAGCAGCCTTGGTTGGCGAGTCTGCCTGCTCCAATGTCACTTCCAAGAAGACCCAGTGCGTGCACCCGGACAAGCCCATGATGTTTGCTTGCGCGGATTGCCCGCGCCGAGGCAAGGCAGCGGACATGGATGATGAGCTTTTGGTGACAGCCGCCTTTGTGGGCGAGTGTGCCTGCTCCAACGTCACTTCCAAGAAGACCCAGTGCGTGCACCCGGACAAGCCCATGATGTTCGCTTGCGCGGATTGCCCGCGCCGAGGCAAGGCAGCGGACATGGATGATGAAACCTTGGTGGCAGCCGCCTTTGTGGGCGAGTGTGCCTGCTCCAATGTCACTTCCAAGAAGACCCAGTGCGTGCACCCGGACAAGCCCATGATGTTCGCTTGCGCGGACTGCCCGCGCCGAGGCTAGGTAGCGGACAAAGGTGCACATCCGTTGTGAGGCATGCAAAGCTTGATCAGGCGAAGCAGTTGATGCAGGGTGGGAGAGCAGGGCTTCTTAAAAGATACATTTTGCCCATATGAAACATGGCTTTCTGCACCAAAATAAAGGGACACCACCTTTTACAACGATCCCTGGAGAGCCCCGTATAACTGGCCACGATTTTTCAACTTCTGCTCAGCGAGCCCGTCGTAGTCGGATTCTCTGCTTGCGGCGTTTCACGTGAGTGACGGCCAAAGTCCTTGATTGCCGCCTGGTAAGGAATAGCTTTTGCGTTGTTTGCGCCAAGAGTTGTGAATAATTTCAATGTCATATCCCGTCCACTGGACTGTTGCAACGTCATATGACTTCGGCCATTGCTCGGCAAATATCGTTTATCACTACCGTGTGGCGACTCTGGAGCACTCTGGCGAAATGGCGATCCGGCATTGGTTTCACCAACTTGGCTTTCTTGAGCAAAGCCGAAAAGTGGTTCTAGCACACAAGCCCAAATCTCACGAACGCCTTAAATATTGCAAGAGGAACAAGGGAGGTGGGTCTGGTTGGCTTACTTGCATTTTTTTGGCATCCACAGTGACCGAAGTTGCCTCAAGGTGAAGAAGCGCAGAAAGCAGCGTTTTTGACAGATCCAGAGTCTCCCTTTCTTGCGTCAGGCTCCGAAGCGCGCGTGGCAGACCCGGAAACCGCCTGCTCAAAGTTTTGACGAGGTTTGCAGGTAGGCAGATCTTTGGAGGTCCATGGTTTTGACAGACATTAGCACTAGTTTCAATTGAAGCTACTCTTGTTTTGCCCTTAGAGTTTGGGATTTTGCGAGTTCCCGCACGGTCGTCAAGGGCTCCCCAAACAGAGGACCCCCAAGAATTCCGCGCCGAGCGGCCTTTGAGAACCATTTCTGGCTCACGGCTCACTCCGAAGAGGTCCTTTGCCTTCCATTTGAACTTAAGAGTAGTCTTTTTCCCCCCGTTAATTCGTGCTTAAGAATATTTTATGTTTTATTTTCCCCCCGGTAGTTTTTAGAGGGCATCGATTTCACTACTGGAAAATATGTTATATTTTTTCCAGGGGACTTTCGACTTTCGGGAAGTTGTCTTTTGCGGTCAAGGCCCCTCAGGATCAGAGCATATGGAGGAACAGTTGTTGCAGATTCTGGGCGCGTTGCATTGCACTGCATGGCGTGCGGTGTGCATTGCGCTGGACGAGCCAGTCAGCAATGACTCATCTCCTTGGTGTCCCAGTAGAATTTTCCTTGGGTTGAGAGGGGTCCAAACTGGTCTGTCATTTTTTGAAGGAGCCCCCCGTTTGCTTGGTTTTGAACGGAATCAACGGGAAAACCACATTTTTTTTCCGGGGGGTCCCCTAAAAAGCACATGCCCAAGTTGTTATTGCCAGGCTGAACTCACCTGTTGCCAGACTCAGAATAGGAATGGGACCCCCAAAATGGCGAGAATGGTTAGCTTCCTTTTGGTTTCTCTTTATAACACCACTTCAAAAATGGTATCCACAAAACAAAACGGCACCCCCCAACGGGGTGTTGGCACCCCTAAGGTCACCAAACCAAGGGGTAAGGGATTAGACATTTAGGTATCCGAAGAAGTGGGACAGGGGCCGTGCACTTGTTGAGAGATTTGTTTCAGATTATGGGAACCTGATGCATCAACCCGTTCCCATTCAATTTGAGGGCCAACAACACTACCCGAGGTGGAAGCCATAGTCGCAACCACTAGTGTGGACTTTTGGCCAATCAACCCCCAGGAGAGACACAGAGAATCCAGTCCCGTGTTACTGGGCAAAGTGGGATGGGCGGAGTTTTCGGCCCCAGGATTTGAGGGGCCCACTCCCGATTTTCCGACTGTCGGAAGGCATAGGACAGGCAGAAAGGGTGAAGCAGTGAGCATCTGTTTTGATTCTTTCGGCTTGTACGGGCTCACGAGGCCTCCAAAATGTGCATTTTGGATTTGAAGGGAATCCGAAGGAACAATCACAGGGTTGCTAGGTGTCATGGCAAAGCCATTTGTTTCCAATGGTTTTGGGGGAACACCGAAGACCAGCCAAGAATGTGTGTGTTCCTTGAGGAGTCCTCGTTCCTTGTTTTCAGTCAATCATTCGGTACTTTGGCCTGGTTTCCAGTTTGCTTGACCCCTTGAAGGTGAGGCTTCAGGGCTGGACAAACACAAGATTGCGCTGACAGCAGGCACTGGCTATTTAATTTGTTCGGAGAAGATTCAGATGCTACAAGCTCAAGGCATGGCTTAGCATTGAGAGGCGTCCAGTTGGCACATTGACGGGAGTTGGCTACCTTTGGGGCCCAAGCCATGAGGTCGAATCCCTCCTGGGCTAGTCTTTTTTTATGCCATCTAGCAGCTTTCGTTCACCCCTCCTCAAGTTGGACCAACTTTTCTGAGTTGGGTTTTGCACACTTAGCTTACCCAAAACAAAACAAAGCGCAGGGCGCTTTTTCGCATCATTGCAAGCGTCCTAGCCCTAGCCCTTGCCTGCCCTAGCCTTGGCAGGCTGAAGACTTGCAAGCGTCTCTTGTGAGCTGCTTGCCTGTCCCGAGTCCCGAGTCCCAAGTTCCGAGTCGCGTGCTTCGCCCGCGACTTGGGTTCGAGGAGCTGGAGAGCTATCATTTACGAGGCTGCACGGAAACCATACCCATGCAAACCATACCCATGCCTATGTCTCACTTGGCCACAGCCGATCTCTGACCTTTTGGTTTTCCAAGTTGGATCTAGTTTGAGTAATGGTCCCAAAAGGTGAACAGTTTTTTTTTCTGACTGAGATGAACCAATTGTGTCAATAGGTTTAATGGTGGGGAGCCATTAGGGGTAGACCCTAATGGTACATGAATCGAAGGCTGGTTGCATACGTCCATGTACGGACCCATGGGTATGTTGCATCCCTGACTGGATGAGCAAGCAACAAAACAGAGCTTCATACCAGCGGGTGGGTGGGTGTGGGGGTGGGTGTGGGTGGGTGTGGGTGTGGGTGGGTGTGGGTGTGGTGTGGGTGTGGGTGGTGTGGGTGGGTGTGGGTGGTGTGGGTGGGTGTGGGTGGGGTGTGGGTGTGGGTGGGTGTGGGTGGGTGTGGGTGGGTGTGGTGTGGGTGTGGGTGGGTGTGGGTGTGTGGGTGGGTGTGGGTGGGTGTGGGTGGGGTGTGGGGTGGGTGTGGGTGGGTGGGTGGGTGGGTGTGGGTGTGGGTGTGGTGTGGGTGGGTGGGTGGGTGTGGGTGGGTGGGTGGGTGGGTGTGGGTGGGTGTGGGTGGGTGTGGGTGGGTGTGGGGTGGGTGTGGGTGGGTGTGGGTGGGTGTGGGTGGGTGTGGGTGGGTGTGGGTGGGTGTGGGTGGGTGTGGGTGGGTGTGGGTGGGTGTGGGTGGGTGTGGGTGGGTGTGGGTGGGTATGGGTGGGTGTGGGTGTGGGTGGGTGTGGGTGGGTGTGGGTGGGTGTGGATGGGTATGGGTGGGTGTGGGTGGGTGTGGGTGGGTGTGGGTGGGTGTGGATGGGTGTGGGTGGGTATGGTTGGGTGTGGGTGGGTGTGGGTGGGTGTGGGTGGGTGTGGGTGGCTGATGGACCCGGGGTTCACCTTGGAAACGGCTTCCCCCTTTTTTTCATTCTTGCGCTGGGGTTTGGGCTTCCCCTTGCCCTCGCAGATGGAAGCTCCATGGTGTCCAGCACCACTTTTTGGGTCAATTTAGAGTTCCAACGACTAGGGCACCAGAGGACAAGGATTCGAGAACTGCAGTTGGCTTCCTGGCGAGTTGGTGTGTGAAGAGGAAATGCGTAGCATGCGTAGCCCAGTTTTGGGCTATCCATTTCCATGGTTGCAAAGGCCTTTGCTCACTTTCGGCTGGCAGTCGCCTCGAACCTTAACGATAGACGTGCGAACGTCGCGACGAAAGACCATGGCAAAGCAGGAAAAGCAGCGTTGCGGCATACAGGCCTTCAGAGGTGAAGTTGTGGCCTCACTTTGCGGATGTTGATCCCACCATGTTTTCACTCAGTGGTTGATTTCAGGGGTTCTCGGAAGCAGCTTGTATCCCTGAATCTAAAAAACAACTACAGGAAATTCTACAGGAACCCCTGATTTTGGTGGTATTTGGCTAACTTCCTGTAGAATTTCCTGTAGGTGTCTATGACTGAAGCAGCGTGTTCTTTAGGCAAGAGCTCACGGAAACGGGGCTGGAGCTTGGCGAGTGCGATGCGATCGAGTCCCAATGTGTCAGTTCCGGACTTTCGGGACTCGGACGTTGCATTTTGCACAAAGGCCTTCCTGCTGTTGCAAGCCTTCGTTAGCCAAGTGATCAACCGAAACCATCCTCTTTTTGGTGGCTTTCCATTTCTCGGGCTGAGCGGCTCGGTGTGTGTATGCTTGTGTGTGTGTGTGGCGAACCTTTTTGGGATTTAGGGAAGCAAAAGGAAGGCACCCACTGCATGGCTCCACTCCGCTGAGCCTTGGGGAAGCTTCTCGGGATTTTGTTCGAACATTTGGGCCCTGTTTCCGTCCAGAAAAGTTGCCCTCTGCTTTTTGACCGCGAGTCAGTCGCTGCTTGCCTAGGCCAGAGCGGTTCTATGGTGAGGCGTGGGCAGCTGATAGGGATACACGCGAGGTTCCGTGAATCGAAGAGTTGATGGTCCTTTTCGGAGGGACGTGAGACTTACTGCTGACGTCCGGAGTCCCTGAACTTTCAATTGAAAGACCCTTTGAGTGGTAAACAAAGAGTTTTGACATTTTTCCCATCCACTCAGCAGGAAAAAACCACACCATGTCCTTGAGAGGATCAGCGTGGCCTATATTGATGGCAACATGGCCTCTCTCAGTTGCCCAAAGCTGACATGTTGGTCTTTGGGTTTCCCTAGTATGGTTCACTCTTAGTAAAGGTCGCAAAAGTTAACCTTGTACATTTTGTTTCTAGATTCTTTGGGCAACTGAGATATAGTCACCCGGGAGCCGCCATTTGACAAGAGGTACATGTGGAATGCATGCGTGCTTCAGGCAAGTAGTCCTTGGGAAGACTAAAGTAAATCCTAAAGTGAATCCTTTTTAATCGGCAGGAAGTACTTTAGGTGTGAGGGCATGGTGAGAAGAGCTTCCACCGTCCAACACGCACACTGAGATTCAGGAGTTCTTGACTCTGTCCTTTTGAAGGTCCCTTTTGGGTGGTTTCAAAGGGAGGCTGAAAGGAAGACAGAAGCTATCGGGACATCCCCAGAACTTGGTTCAAGGGGGCCCGAGAATTCGGTCAAACTGGTCTACAGTCCATTTGTCGATTCTCCCAGGCCCAGGAAACCCCCTACCCATTACTTGTTACTAGGGATATCTGTTGAGGGGCCCGGTTTTCCATGGCAATTACGCTCCTTTCCGACTAGAGGGTTGGCAAAAAAAGTCATTGCCCTGAGGACAGCGGGTATTTGGAGAACGGGGTCTTTTGACCTCACTTCAGTTTGAGCACTTGATACTTTTTAGGTAAACTAGAAGCTTGGGCCCCCCAGCTAGGTGCCCCTATTTTTAACCCATTTTTTGGGGGAGAGGTCTACTAAAATAGACTACAGCCAAAAGTGTGTACCCTTTTTCTATCCTCTCTACTCAAAAGCCTAGAGAAGCTTAGGCCTTTGACAGGGAATTCGTGGCCGCGTGAATTCGAAGTCGGCCTCGAATTCAGGCACATGAGCAAGACATCAAGGACAGTGGCAAGTGGGCGCCTCAGTTGAGCCGAGAAAGAAATCGTTTTGCCCAAGCAAGTGAGTCAGTTCCAGGGTTTTTGCTTCCCCAGAATTAGGTTGTATTTTTATTGCTTGCTTGCTTTTTTTGGGGGCCCCCCTTTGTTTTCCACGAACCAGGCAAACAATATAGTTTCTTGCTGGCAATCCTAGCCCAGTTTGGAGGTGGATGGTTGCGAAATCCGTTTTCTTAGGCACCACCATTCTGGAAGCAAGCAAGCCGCTTGCAAAAAAGTGTCTCTTTGGATGGACGAAATCCGTTCACACCATTTGAGATACCCTGGTTTCTGATTCGATTCCCAACGTAAATATCAACAAACGTTATATAGTTTCAACCATGGGTTCAAAGTGGTGCGAAATGGAAATCGCCCACCCACAGTGTGGATGCCTATACCCACTCCCTGAGTTCACGGGTTTTAGTCACTTTTGTGGGAAGACCAGGTTGGTGGTAAACACAAGGTTCCGACTTTTTTTGGCCCATCTACCCGATCGGATGTGAGTATATGCCGCCAACATATGCTTGCAACGCAGTATGTACCCTTTATATGGTGTGGTATATAGCCTTCAGACCTCCAAAACCCATACTTGATCAGAGGCATCGATGAGACTCTCGAAGTTTGCCACCACGCAACTCGAATTTTTCCTGTACTCACTTCCTGAGTTTCTGGACTTTCGTCACTTTTTGAGAGACCATTCGGTGATAAACCAAAAGTTTGGACGTTTTTTAGGCGATGCACTCAGGAAGAGAGTGTATCCAGTCACGTAGCAATAAATTTTGACCGTGTCTCCTATGACATCAGTGCTGGGAGGCTTCATTGTTGGGAGGGAATCTGTGCTGCTATTGGGTTGGATCTTTAGACTTTGGATTCTCCTCGTATTTCCTTTTAATCAGCAGTAAGTTGCACTTTTTGCTGGGGGATCTACAGCACCCAAGGAATGGGGCTGTTCGACCGGCTCAGCTGCATCAATTCTGTGCCCGGTGGGCCCATTGCAGGGCCATTTCAGAGCCAGTTACCCTCCCACCTGTTTTACTAGGTCCCCCAGCTAGGTGCCCTTCTCTCCCCTTTTTTGGGGGAGAGTTCCCCTACTAAGAAACAAAGTACCCTTATTCCAACCTCTGTACGGGAGGACCTAGTTTACATGGAACCTGAGAGGGACATCGGTCCCGTTAAAAAGGATAATGGTCCAAACCAGGACCCCCCCGAAACGTCAGGTTCCATGTTAGTTGGTGGGAGGGTATGTAGAGTGAATCTTGGCAGTGGCTTTTTCTTCCTATTTGTGGCCTTGAAGGAACTCGCGACTGTGATAGTAGAACCCTCCCCAGAAATATGGTCAACACATTTCCCGCCTGAACAACTCAAGTCAACCAAAACTCTTTGCACTTCCATGACGGTTGCGTGCCAAATAGCAATGAGCTCTTTGTTTCCATTGCCGAAAGGTTTGGGGAGTTGAAATTCTGGCTAGGTTCAGCTAGGTTCGGAGAGCTCCCTACATCACCAATCCCCACCGGAGGCGATGTCTCCAAAACTGGCGAAGCCCTATATGGCGGTGGCTCAAAATTCAAGAGCTAGGGCAAACCGCAGGTTCTAGTCTTTGGTTCCATTTGCCAAGGTGCCATTTTGGGTGCCATTTTTTTGGGGCCACAGCCAAATGAGTCAAAAAGAGGATCGCCCGGCAGGTTGACGGAGCTCTTTGCCATCCTGCCTCGGGCCACAGCCTGGGCCGTTCAACATGATTGTGTCCCTGAACACATTCGGAGAAAAGAAATGAAAAACCAACTTGATGAGTAGGGGGGGGGTTGTCGCCTTTTAATGGGATTCCCTGGGAGTGGAACCGAATTAAATTTTAATCCGCGACATTCATTGCGGTTGGGTACTTTAGAACCATCTCAAGCCCTGGGTTCCTAGACTCTAGTCGCTTTTGGGGCATCCAGTCTTGGTAAGCAACAAGTTTAGACTTTGTTTGGCCAAACCACTCAAGAAGTGAGCTCTGCCTTTTCAGTATGTCAGTACGGAGTACTATTCATAGTTTTAGCCCCTTATATTAGATGCAGGAGAGACCATCCCAGCCAATAGGCGCGGTGTTCCTTTTGATTCATGGCTTTGAGTAGGCCCCTTGCAACATTGGGGTAGAAGTAAAAGTCACCATGCAGATCTGAGTTCTCGTAATTTGGGCAGCCGATTATGCATCAAAAGCATTGGTTTCCGTGGCGCCGAGTGGAACATATTTCTATTTGCCTGCAGGGGAATTTGATTTGGTGGTCCCCTCTTTCTGGGTTCTTGGAAATTTGTAGACGCATTTTCTAGAAGTGGCCTGCTTAGGGGATGCGATCCCCTAGGCCGACTTCTGCATGTTTGACAATCGTATCTACCTAGGCCCCCTCTTCATGGTTGTTGTTGGGAAACATTTTACATTTTTTGCTCATTCTGGTTTAGTGGTTGAAATCCAAATCCACTTAACTGCTAAAATTTAAATGTTTGCTCCCCAAACCCAACGTCAACCAAGTCTTGTGATGAATCCTGTAATGAAGGTTCCAAAAGCTTCAAGCTTCGATTTCTGAAGTCCTTGGGGCAAGGATTCACGACTTGCGCATGTCCCAGTGTTCTTAGCTTTACCTCACTTCCCCAATTTACTTTCCATTTTTGGGGAAGATCATGGTGGTCAACCACGAAGGGGTCCATTTTTTTGTTTAACCTCTCACCACGTTTGCTTGGTTCTCTGAAAGATGATTTCACTCCACCGTCCTGAATCCCTGGACTTGACCAGTTTCGTGATAAATACCAAGTCCAGACTTGTTTTGGCCACTCAGGAAGTGAGTCGTCCTAATTCTTCTTTCAGGTCACTGTTCAAGTGGGATGTGTGTATATATATATATAAAATCAACACATCCCTCCTTTCTCAATTCTCAGGGATCCTTCTCACCTTAGAAACATATCCGCAAAACGCAATAGCGGTAGAGTTCCCCCCAGTTTGGGAGAATGCAGTGGGTTGTTACAATGTCTTCGATCCTTATCTCACTTGCCCAGAGCAAATTCACCTTTCAACCTTTTGGTTTTCCCATTCCTTGGGTGCATGTTCAGTAGAGGTGCCAAAAGGTTAGCTTTCATTTCTGGGTCCGTTTGGCAACTGGGTTGTTCCAGATGGTAGTGTTATCCCTTGTTGTAATGCTGCCCACTGGGCTTTTCCCTGGCCAAGCAGAGAGCGGAGATGCAGTAAGGCGTGGCATCATTGCGCGAAGGGACAAGGCCTGTGCCTCATGCGTCGTGGGGGGGAGGGGGCTAGTCTTATTGGGACCTGATTGGTGGTAGCTTGCCTTTTCTTTATGGCTATTTGGTTGGATCTTTGGACTTTAACTTGGATTTTGCACTGGACCCGCAATCAGTAAAGCTTGTTGAAAAGGGTTCAACTAAGTTTTCATAAAGGTCTAGACAGGGGTCAAAGACGGTTAACAACTACCCATGCATTGTGTGTTGTTTTCATGTGGCGGCAAAGGCGGTCTTTTGCCAACATGCCCATCAAAGCTTCGGTCGGCATTCAATCAAATTAATAAATAACCCCAAAATCAAACACAACTAATACTACCAACAACACGACCATCCAATCAACCAACCGCCCAACCCAAAAGCCAAACCTACAAAAAAACACGAACCCACCTCATCCCCAAAACCCCTACCCATCAAACCAATAGTAACCCAATGATATGTAACAAAGTATATTAGTTACATATTTTCTGCCTAAGTTTACCCAGTGAATCCCAGTTACCCCTATACTAGGTAAGCGGCCATTGTCCTTTTGGTGTTGAAAGGCTGGTTCCCTTGGTTGCCTACAGGTAGATAGATCCACTATCCCCAGTTCGAGCGACTGAGCATCTCCGAAAGTCACAACTCCCTTTTCACCAGGCAGAAGTTCTTCTTTTGGCATGGGTTTTGCGAAGAATCCAGAAGTCTACGGTCCACTGAGGGGTCTGGAAGCCTAGCTTTCAATTTCGCATAGGAAGTTTGTCACATGCTTTGGGGTAACGGCACTATTTGGCCGTGGCTCATGCTTGCTTTCGTTTGGCACAGTCTGTCCTTCTCGAGTCAGTGTACCGCTCGTAGCGTAAAAAACGCATGGTTGTGCCTAACTTGGGGAAACTTTGCTGTCTGGGCCCACGCTTTTGATACCAGGGTATATAGAACGATGTGTCGACCTGGCACGTAAAGATGACCCTTGGTAACATTGGTATCGCAGACGGTGTTTGTCCCTAACCCCTGGTGCGTGCTAGCCCTTCGGCTTTCTCGTGCCCCCCCCCCCCACTTTTTTCATGCAATGCCAACTTTGGGTTTTACAAGTTTCACGGACCATACGAACCAGAGGGATGGTTCTATTTCACAAAGTCTTGCTAAAGAAGGAACCTTCCCCGAGTGCGGTGCTTAGGATTCGTCCGAAGCTAGCATTGAGCGGGGATGGACAATTCAGGATGAGTCAACCGGTTTGATGAGGGTGTGGCTCATAAAATCTCGGACCTGTACGGGGGGGGCTATGGGCGGGGGCTATCCATTATCCCTGATAAGCCCAGGACAAGCCAAGGATCGATAAAGCCTTAAGGAGTTAATAAGGGATAGCCCTCCTTGGCTCACAGACGGGCTCAGCATTTGCGGCATTTGCGGCCTGCAGGTCCTGGTCTTCGTGTGCCGAACCGCAAAGGCCTCAGACACAGGCCGTGCACCGCGTTGACAGGCAGGGGAACGCGCAGTGATCTTGGCTGGTGGGTGGTGTGCCCTCTCTGGTCCAGATTCTCTCTACTCTTTGGGTGTTCGGCCAAGTCTTTTTGCGGCTACCCACCTGACTTAGACCCAACTAACCCTGGCTTTTCAGTGGGTTACCACCGAGTGGTTCCCAAGGCAAAACAAACACCAAGACCAAGTGGTTGGCTAATAGGGCTGTACCCTTTCAGTGGGGATTCATCACTTCGGGAACACGCCCTTACAGATGTTACATGAAGCCCAACCGGCCAAACACCCGAACACCCGAGCTCGCAGCCACGCCAAAAAAGGCGACCAGCGAGCTCTTGGCAGCGCTGGTGGAGCGGGAGCCCGCGGCCCAGCGAAAGCCCCCCCAGCTAGGTGCCCTGTTACCGTTTCTTTTTAGAGGTTAGAATAAGGGAACCCTTTCTTTTTTCTGTAGTCTATTTTAGTAGGGGAACCGAATCTCCCAACCAAAAAAGGGGTTAAAAAGGGCACCTACCTGGGGTACCATGTTTTTTGTTTTTGGTTTTGTCTATTTTAGCAGGGGAACCGAATCTCCCAACCAAAAAAGGGGGTTAAAAAGGGCATTCCCCCAACCAAAAAAGAAAGGACAACCACAAATCTGGAGGACCTAGGTGGGATATGTTCGGTGGATATCGGTGGATGCCCCGATTTTCATATCAAGTAAACCAGCCACACTCAACCCCAAAACCATGGTAAATTGCGGTACTTGAGGGACTTGGTTTCCTTGATCTTGTGATTTCAATATTGAGCTGGCATCCGCTGATACGAGCCACCCAGGTTTGATCATTTGTTTAGGTACTGTCAAGGGAATTGTGCAATCTACTTTCGCTTGGCTGTCATTTGGTTACACCTCTGCTTCCATTTGCCTAAACATGATATTTCTTGTTATTCACCCTTCTTGGTTTCAAAGGGAATCTATCGCTCCTGGACGTATATCTCCTTGTTTTTGTTTCTTCAGGGGCCTGAGACAAACGGAAGTGTCGCTTCTTTTCGGAAGGAGGTCCACCCGATCTTGGCACGCATGCGCTTTTTTTTTTTTTTTTGGGGGGGGGGGGGTGCCGCGAGCAGGTTCGGCGTGCGGCCTGGGATCTTGCGGGGCGCCGGCGACCCAGAGCCTTTTGCCATGCTTACTATAGGATGCATGACAACCGATCACCTTCTCTTATGACTAAATTTGGGTCTGCCTCTTTTTGGGGGAGTCTCAAAAATGGGTTGGCTCCATTTTGACCTTTCGGTTGTCCATGTCGATTTTTAGTCATGACCCGAAAAAGCGATGACTTATGCCTGGGTCTCCGGAGCAACTGAGAAGCTTGAGGATACCCCGCACGGAGAGCGGGAGCGCATCATCAGCAACTTCAAAGCCGATCCCATCCCCGGGGAGCCGCAGAGTCAGGCCCAGCGCGGGCGACCGTCGGACTGCGGTCGTCCGTCTTGGCCTTTGGGTCTTTGGGCTGCGGTTTTTGGTCGTCAACCTTCCAGTAGCTGACGTGAATATGTTCTATGTTCCCCTGGTGGTTTTATATGGAACCAAATGGAACCGATTTCACTACGGATTTTGCTTTCCAGGGGGCTTAAGCAAAAGTAAGCAACCCTTTTTGGGGTCCCATTCTTTTTCGACGGAGGAAGGCGACTTGTGAGAGTATCTGCCTCGTGTCGATTTTTTCATGGAACCCAGGATGGCGTTTTTGTTTGGAAAGGAGGAGCTTTTAATCAACCAGCAGTTTGTTTTTCTGCAACGCCGACATAGGGGTTCTAGTAGCTTCCCCTCGTCTACGTCCAGACATGTAGTGGTACCTTTTTCCCCTGTTCTTCTCCCAGGGGGGATTCGCTTTACGACCTGGTATTTTTCCCAGACAACTTAAGCACAACTTGGTGGCTCCCAGCCATCCCCTGAGCTGTTTAGCCTTTTAGTGTTTAGTGGTAGTTTCCATTTGACCCACTAAAAGTTATTCACTTTTAGCGGGGGATCTGAAAACGGCAACCCAGGAAAGGAGGAATGTCCCTTGGAACTTGCACCAGGTCCTTCTGCTCTCTGTCTGGGTAGGCGCAGTGGGCGTGCTCCTGAGTCGGGTCGGCTTTGCTTTAGGGTGAGGGGTGCATTGCGCTAGGTTCCGTTTCATCTACATGTTTTTTTTGTGGGTCCATGTAAAATCTGCAGAGGGGGTGTTCCCTCCCAAAGTGATGAGCTCCCAGTCAAATGGGGCACTGTAGAATTGTAACACCAAACGGACAATTTGCAAAACTTGATCACTGTTGCTACAATTGTAGCACGGGTGCTTTGCCCGTTCGGGACTGAACCGTTCGAAACCCTTTCAGCCCAAAAAGGGTTCAAAAGGCGTTCAAGAAGCTCTCGCAAGTCCTTCGGAACCGTGAACCGCAGTGCCGTGACAGTTATTTGGTCGTTGCTACACATCGCGAATGCGTGCAACCAAAATCCCGTTTCGGACAGATTGTGGCATTTTGTTTGTTTGGAATTTGAGGGGTGTCAGGTAGCCACTTGTTCGGCCAAGTTAGTACAGATAACCCTGTTATAAGCCAGGCGAAGCACTTCCTAAGTCGGAAGATCTAGTGGGTTCAGCTTGATCCAGGGTTGGCACTACCTTCCATTTGCTTAAGAATACTGTTTTTCTTTGTCCTTGTTGTTTTCGAAGGAGCCTCTATGAACCTATCACTGTACTGGGAATCCGTGTATCTTGGACGCCTTTGGGCGCCAAACAGTCCATGTTTGAGCATTCAGCCACAGCCAAGTGGGTCGTTTTTCGTAGGATCCCAACCTTGTGCAACCTCCGCCCCTCCTGCTGGGTTCTTCAAAGCAAGCTCTAATTCACAACAAAATTGGCAACGGCAAGCCGGTGGGTTGTTTCAGAGATGCTTGCTTTAGAGGGAAAGGGGCGCTCCCAAGCTGTGACTGCTCAATTTTGGTGGTTCTCAGTGAATCGTCTTCCTTAGGTTGTTAGGTTTTTTGTTGTTTTAGTGGTTGGGTTTCCATGTATCCCACAAGTTAGACTGTTAGTAGGGGATCTGAGGAAAGCCCAGCAACAGTGTCCTGGAAGTTGGGTCCCTAACTAAAAATGGCGAGATGCAGACACCCCACAAAGCCATTTGCAGACGTGAAACCCCCCTTTCTAGCGTGAAGGCCGAAGTTGGCCTTATTATGCGCTTGGGCCCCGCGACCCTAAGGACTGAGCGTAGGGTCGATTTGGTTTTTCAGGCTTTGGCGCCGCAGGCTTCTCAAAAGCCGTGCTGTTAAGCCTTTCCTTTCCCCTCGCACCTGCTCCATGAGAGCAGCCAGCAACCCCAACCCCTCCCCTGTTTCCCCAACCTAAGACCCTGTTTCCCCTGTCAAGGGCTTATTTGGAGGAAGCCAGGGTATAAGAAGGGTCGAAAAGGCCCTTCCAGCGGCATCAGGCCTGAACTTGCCGGAGGCTCGTTGGGCGCCCGCCTCAAACTGCTGGGAGGGCCCGTGTGGCAGCAAGAGATTCGTTGGACGGTCAGGGCTTCCTACACGTCCTTTTCTGCTGGGCACTACCCTCCCCCCCTTCGGGTTCTATTGAGGATGGCCAGTCCAACGAGCAAACCCGCCACTTTGGGAGATTTCCCACACATGAGGCGCCGCTCGATTTCTCGGCTCGCAGGGGCTCGGGCCCCATCACGGTGTGAGCGTTGTTTGCGAAATCTTCGGATCGCCTGCCATGCGGCGGGCCGCGGCATGTTTTGCCCTGCTCCTGGCCCTGGAATTGGCGGCATCCATGCGTGTGCAGGAGGGGTCAAAGTGGGCCCCTGGCCCGTTTCTAGCTTCAAACCGGAGAAGTTCCAACAATAGACCCGCAGCCAGAACGCACCAACTGATCACCCACCTGACCGCGTCTGCCTTGGCCAACTTGCAGACAGTTCTGGAATACTACGCGTCCAGAGGAAGCTCGCCTCCTGCTAGTAGCCTGCAGTGGGTTATTTTCCCGGACGGCAGCCAAACCGGGCACCCCACATGGCACTTGATAGCACTTCAAGAGAAAATTTACATGTTTGTGGGAGCAAGGGTGGGGAACGTTGTGTTTGTTCCAGATTCATCATGAAACATCCAGTTTATTCGAATTTCATGTCCAAGGGGCAACACAGACTCGCGCGTGATTTTGGTCCCTGGACAGGTTGCCATGCGGAGGTCAGTTGACGCTTCCTGAAGCTTTAAGACCATTTGTGAAGTCTATACGGATTCTGTGTGATTCAGGTTATGGGTTTTCCTAAAGATATAGAAACCCCGTCAGGTTTACCATGGTCAGGTTTGCAATCGACCTTTCTGGGGTCTGATGTGACCGCTGCTGCAGCTGCAGTGACCGGCATCACAAATTCCAATGGTCCGGAACACAATAAACTAGGTGCAATATCGCCCCGCAACTGCTAGTTTCTCAGACGGATAAATTGAAACCGAAAGGGGATTTGTATTTAGATCGTTGATTTCCCCAACAGCCCTGGAGCCCTCCGGAACCCCCCCTCCCTGAAATCTGCCCCAAGCCACCCCAAAGCCAATCTTCCGCTGCTCCAGACCCCGGATCTTTCGCACCAATATTGGACTAATAGTGTGTGTGTGTGTGTGTGTGTCTCTTTGAGGCTGACCTTTTTATTGCTTTATGGGAAGCCAAAAGGAACAACACAATCCAAATCCCTGTTCGGACACATGCTCCCCTACAATTAATATGCCGACATGGTCTGATTCCCAAGAGGAGTTCCATCTGCAAATGTTTTTTGGGGTTCCAAGTAATATCTGGAGGGGGGGTGTTCCCTCCAAAAGTGATGAACTCCCACTAAACGGGGACACCCTATTCCTCACTTGGTTGCTCGGCCGAGTTCGTAAATTGTTGGTAGCCGGGCGAACCACCGAACTTGGAGGAACATCCAGGCGCTTTTTGCCTAATCCGGGTTTAAGAATATCCACGTTGACCTCACTTCCTGCATTCCTGAACTTGAGTCGCTTTTTGGGTTTGGGCCATTTGAGTGGCAAGTCCTCCAATTTGTTGGTTTGCTTTGGGCCAATCCAGGACTCCGCTCGATTTGAGAAAACTCTAGGGGTCGATTCCCCATTCTTTTCAGCCATCGTTATTTTTCAAAAAACCGGCATTTCCCCAGGGCTTTTGGTGGTTTTCTGGAAGATAGGCATTTCCCCAGGGTTGCCCAGGGCTTTTAGTGGTTTTCCGGAAAACAGGATCCCTGGAAAGACTGGTTGGCAGTTACCCCTGGAACACTCAGCTCGCTTTGCCAGGAGCGCCAGGAGCGGAGCAACGCCACCTCTGCGGATCCCATCACGGGGCTGGTGCTGGGCACCGTGGCAGCGCTGGGCTCCCTCTACTCCCTGCGCAAGACCAAGCTGCTGAGCCTCCGGACGCCTTTGGCTGGGGCGGCTGCGCAGCTCGTTTCTCTTTCCCCTCCTCGTTTTCTCGTCGTTTGCTCGTTTCCCTTTCCCCTCCTCCATTTTGTTCTTCTTTTCTGAAGAGTCGGCGTTTGAAGGCGGCGGTTGCATCTCTGCTATCTTTTCAATCTTCTTTGGATTTTGTTCTTCAACGTGAGTTTGCCCAAATAGGGTAGATCGAAACTCGCAAAGTACTAAAGGGACTCTTTTTGCGCATCCTGTTGGTTTTGTGTAGGGGAACATCGCCCGATTTGAACCAGCCAGCTTGTGGGTGCTTTGGGCTGCTTGTTTCGCTGAGAATCCACCAGTAAACCACCGGGGACTGACAGCCATTGTCAACAGGGTGACCCTGACGGCGATGACCCTCCCACCATTTAGCACGTGGGACGTGACGTTCGGGACCGACAACGACAGCTCTTTGCAGTTGACGTGTGAATTCTGCTCCTTACACTTGCGCGAGAGACAGTGCCCCAACCGGTTTCCAGAAAGACGCCTACTAGCACATGATATCCGACATTCTAAGGCCCATGAGGTTTTCCATCCCTACCCTGAGGCCTTTGTCCCTTTGTTCCATGTGCTCTCCCACCACCTAACACAGAACCTGGCGTTCGGGGGGGTCCAGGTTTGGACCATGCTCCTTGTGATTTCAACAAGTGTATAAACAAGTGTGACCGAATGTCCACCAAAACCTAATAAGGCCCCTAATTCAACTTCATACCCACCAAGGATTGCCTACATCAAATGGGTTCCCCAAATCAAATTCATACCAACCCACAAGTTAACATGGAACCTGGGGTCCCTTTAAAAGATGCTGGAAAAATTCCCGGAACGTCAGGTTCCATGTGTTGATTGGTGGGGAGCTGGGGTAGACTTGGGATACATTTTACATTTTGCCAGTGACTCAAAGTCAAGCAAACAATAAATACATAAATATATATATATATATAAATATAAATATAAATATATATTCTATAACTGGGCCTAACTCAATCATGAAACCGCCAAGAATCGTAGGCTCCTCCCGCTTGTCCCTTTGCATGGTTTCAGCCGAAGGCCTAGGGAGGGCCTGTGTTCTAATGGGAGCGCCAAGGATCAGGGAGAACGAGCAGCAGACCGCCGCTGCCCTCAAGCTGCTGGCTGAGGCCACCGCGGTGTCCCAGGAGCATTGCCAGGTGCTCGCGGACATCGACGCCATGCTGCACCAGGCAACCGCTGGACCCCTCCACCGCTCAAAACCCTCGAAATGAGTCGAGCCTCAAGGTCCCACTTGCCTTCCGTTTGCTGAAATGGAGATGTTGTTTTTGTGTTTTCCTTTTTTTTGTTTTCCTTGTTGGTTTGAAAAGGTAACAATTTCATTACTGGAAAGATGCTCTCTTTTTTTTCAGGGGCTAGCTTCCATTTGCTGAAATGAATGTGATGTTTGTTGATCTTCCCCTGTTTGGTCCATTGGTTAGTCATGACCCAACCCAAGCGGATACTCGAACTTCCATTTGCTGAAGTGAATATGTGTGATTGCCCCCTTTTGGTCTGAAAGGGAAACTATCTGCCGCTCGCAAGCAAGCGGAGGATCATGATTGGGAAAACCTACTGTGGATGAACAAATACTTCGTAGCCCACAATTAGTCAAACCTGGCATGATACAGAAACATTGTATGTTTAGCTGTGGCATTGGTCTTCCAAACTGGGAAGACCGCTTTCGCGGTAAACAATTAACATTGCCTTCTTGCAACGTGTGCAAGATTTGTCCAACGCCACTCCCTGAGTCCCTGGACTTTTCTCTTTTTTGGGGTTGGGCCGTGGACGAAACATTTGGTTGCTTGTTTTCGCCCATCTCGACGGGAAGAGAGACAAGCCCAACATGGTTGTTGTTGGGAAACATTTTACATTTTTGCTCATTGTGGTTTGGTGGGAAATCCCCACTTAAATGCTAAAATGTTGTTTTTTGCTCCCCTTCCAACGTCAACCAAGCCAAGTTCGAACTGCATAGTCAGCTGCTTGTGGTTGCAACTCGCATCTTCTTGAGTGAATCGGCCAGACGGATGCAGCCCGCTGCAAAAAGTTCATATTTGTTGGTTCCGCAGATGGACAAACAGACAGATGGACAAACGAGGCAGGTTAGTAGGTGGATATATGTAAATAGATACGTAGAGAGATGGTGGCGGATAGAGGGGATATCTTATCTCATTGCGATCCCAGGTGTTCTGTTTTTTTTTTTTTTTTAATCGCTTTTTAGGGTTTCGTGATAGTTTCCATTTAACCCACTAAGAGACAGACTTTGGCACGGTCTGAGGAATACCCAGATAATTTTTCGTGGACCATGGAACAGGATCTAAACAGTCATTTGGCTGTGGGTCAAAATATTTGGTAGGTGCACCACCCATTTTAGTCGTTTTTAGTGGAGATTGGGATGTTCACTGGGGGTATGGGCTTTTGACCCACCCAGGCTTTGCAGAGGCAAAGGATGCGGCAAGCAGGGTCTTCGGGATGAAGAGCTGGTTCCCACCGTCATTCCATGGAAGGGGTACAGCATGTTGCGGGCCCCCTCGTCGCACGCCGCGTATGACGTTTCCCCTTCGCACAAGCTACAACTGATGCCCGGAACCAAGTGGCCCTTACTCTTGATGGTGCTCAGCAGGGAGTGACCCAGGGTTTTGGCAATGAAACCAGGGATTCCCTTAGAGTAAACCGTACAGGATGGTTCATAGGGGTCATTTCCTCATTCCCTGAGAACAAGCAAGTACTGGATGCTCTCGGACAAGCTGCCCTCTGAAGGGACATGAGATGGGCCGTTGACCCAGCATGAAATGAGGGAATGACCCCCAGAAACCATCCCATTTGGTCTCCTTTAAGGGGATCCTTAGGTTCGTTCCCAACACCCGGGGCCCGGTCATTCCCGACACCAGGAAGTTGTTGAATGCTATTTGAACATGTACCCAGAAGGGACTCCAAAAGCGCGTGGGCAATTTTCCGGCCAGACCCCGTACAGCACCCACTAACTCACTTGCTTAAACCGAATGGACCTTTTGACCTTGT